TTCAATTACTCATGTTTACATTTTGTAGGCACATGAATTGGGGATGGAACCGACATTTGCAGCTACATTAGAACGCACATTTAAAAAAAAAGATAAGACATGGACTGGCAATCGAGCAAAAGCTATTAAGGTATGTAAGGTTATACTTTGGACTTTATGGAAACTAGAATGAAAACCGTGAATGCTTTTAATATTTATGGTAGTTATATATGAAGTTATTTTATTTTCATCTATATTGTTAATGTAGAAAAAATATGATGAACTTTTAATGAGCAATGCTAGTGGTGGTGATGGTAGGGGTGTGCAAAAAACCTAGGCCCGCCCAGGACTGCCCGGGACCGGACCGGAACCGGTGGTTCCCAAGGGGACCGGTCCGGTTCCTGGTTCCAATTTTTTGGAACCGGTGGGTATCGGTCCGGTTCCCGGTTCCCGGTGTAGAACCGCCCACCCGCCCACGCGGACCAAACCGGTAATATAATAATAATATATTTATTTTTTAAAATTTTAATTAAAAAAATCTGACCAAAAAAAAAACGTAACTAGACACTCATAACTCTCCGCTCTCTTATCTCTGGACACACATTTGATGGGTACCTACTTGATTTATGGATGATGTGGTTAATAGAACCGATCATAGTATAGGAATTGTATGGAAAGTTATGTTCTTTTCTTTTTGTTCCGTTGATCCGATATTGGTTCACATAATTTTTTTTATTTGTCCAGGAAAACTTGGTGGGACCGGTTCCATGGACCCACCCGGGAATCGGACCGGACCGGCGGTCCGGTTCCCGGGCGGGTCCATGGAACCGACGGGCGGTCCTCGGTCCCAAAATTGAGGACCAACACTGTGCGGGTTAGTCCTAGGGTTAGGGGGTGGACCGGCCCAACCCGGACCATGCTCACCCCTAGGTGATGGTGTTGCTGCGTCTAAGCCATCAGTTGACAGTATGGCATTATGGGTGGAGGCAATGGGTGGGATGAAAAAAGGAAAAATATTTGGGATGGGATCCTTGTCAAGGGTATACACAACGAATCATGCTGCAACTTCATCATCCAATGCGGCTGTTCGAAGGAGGACACGACTTGAGGAGCAAATGACCCAAGAATTGAACCAACTGAAAAATATACTTGTAAAGAAGGACGAAGAAATAAATGACTTGAAACAACAAATGCAAATCGTTATGCGACACCTCAACCTTGATCACGATGAGGTTCCTCCTGTACCTCCCGTCAATCCAATAGGTGATGGGCACAATGATGAGCGACACAATAATGCTGAGATTGCTGATGATGATGATGATTTTCTCGGTCCTTTCTAGTTAAAATTCCCAAAATCGAGGGTAAGCTTGCTTCACAATCTTTTGTGCCATAAATGCAGTTTGCCCAATATGTTCCTGCCGTACAATTACTTTCTGTGCACAACTTTCTTACAACTAGGTTCTTTGCTTGCGAAAAACTGAAAATTTAGAGATCTCAGGATGACATGCTTGTTACAAAAAATCATGATATTTGAACATTGTAGAAATACATGCCTTAATTGACTTTGAGTCCTCTCTTCCTGGGAATTGGTGTTGGTAATTCACCTCTCTAAGTCATTAAACTGTTGAATGCTGTTTGGAGAAGGATCTAATTTTTCGTAGGTGACAGAAATACGGTTTACAAGGGTGAAAAAACTACAGTGGATGTCAAAGTTGACTCATATTCATATGTAAAAACATTGATGTTCGTCCTGAAACGTTTTTTTATTAACCCTCCTACTTGTTTTTTTATACCTAGTTCCACATCCATGCATAAACGCTTCTTTTATATTCTGGACTGATTGAATATCTTTATTTATGTATCCATATTTCATCAGGTGTCGACAAAAGTGACTACTTCTAGTGTCCTGCCGAGTACCAAAGTTGCCCAATCTTTTGTCTGGTTTGTCAATTTTTCGTTTTTGAAGCAGAATCTATGATTGTCCCGCCTCCTTTGAATGTTTTAAATGTATTATAAGATTGGATATCAAATAGCATCATGTCAGACTTTGCAACTTTGCATATATCATTATTTTTTGCGGACTAGCATCTTTCCTTCAGTTATATTTTTCAATTATATGGCATTGTGTCTTATTTGTTCGTCTTCTGTTTCTGAAGCGGAATCTATGGTTGTTTCGTGTCCTTTGATTGTGTTGAATGTATTACATGATGTTCATTAATGCGTAGCTATTGCTATGGACAAGATTTGACGGCCCAAATGGTGTATAATTTGCGACGAATATTTAGCGACGAATTTTGCGACCAATACAATTCGTGGCTAATTTGCGACGAATAAGTAGCGATGAATTTTGCAACCAATTTTGCGACGAATTTTCCGACGAATAAAGTTCGTGGCTAATTTGCGACAAATTTTGCGACGAATAAATTTTGCGACGAATAAAGTTCGTAGCTAATTTGCGACGAATTTTGTGACGAATAAAGTTTGTGGCTAATTTGCGATGAATTTTTCGACGAATTCTTTGCGAAGAATTTTGCGACGGATAAAGTTCGTGGCTAATTTGCGACGAATAATGTTCGTGGCTAATTTGCGACAAATTATTTGCAACGAATTTTGCGACGGATAAAGTTCGTGGCTAATTTGCGACGAATTTTGCGACGAAAATTTGCGACGAATTTTGCGACGAAATAAGTTCGTGGCTAATTTGCGACAAATTTTGCGACGGATAATGTTCATGGCTAATTTGCGACGAATTATTTGCGATGAATATTTTTCCGTCGCAAAATTTTGCGACGCCGAATTAGCGACGGAATTTTTTCCGTCGCTAATTTCGTCGCAAATTCGATTAGCGACGGATTTTGTCAAATTTTTCGTCGCAAAATTCATCGCTAATCCCTTGTTTTTTTTGTAGTGTGCCCCGCCAAAGCCGACGACACAATGTTCTTTTTTTTTTTTTGTAAGGTTGAGTTGTTATTGTCTGATATGATAGAACACCACAATGTTCAATGATTGGCGTGGACTCGGGCCATTCTCTGTGCAAGTCATACTAAGCCAGTAAGCCCCCACACGGCCCTGTTTCGTTCCTATGGTCGTTGGTTGGGTAAGTCAAGTCTATTTCTCTGTTTCTTCTTATACAGTTTTGTGTTTTATCACCTGTCGATCATCGTTTTTTTTCCTCGTTCTAGGACTCCACTCAACCTCAAGCAGGTACGCGAATCAGGAAGTGAAGACCATCGTACGAAAATGGGCCCTCTATTTTTGCTTCTCGATAGGGTGACATTTGGCCCCTTGTCATGGTGATCGGTGGTTTTGTCTTTTCATTCCTCTCTCTGCAGCTTTTCATGCTTTTTCTGGGACGATCTGATTTCTCGAGTTCGTAGTGCTTTCTCAGCGATTTAATCAAGGTGGGCAGAGTGAAAACTTGCATCAAATGGGGAGAATGTGTATGACATGTAATGTCACTCACCAAAAGCTTATTCTGTTGATTCTCAATTCTTAAGGAGTTGATTTAGCATTTTGAGAAACGAACATATCTGTGATTTAATTTCGAACATATTGTCTGGGGCAACCGTCACAAAGTGGTGGTCGCGCTTTTAGATCTGCAAGTCGCGTCTGGCGATGTGAATATGTAGGACTGCGACTATAGCTTGGGTCTTGTGATGGCCATGGCCACCTCGAGGTCGTTGCCTGAGGAGAGCTATTGGTACAAGTTAGTGGTGTCGCTGTTAGATCTCATACATGAGAGAGTGAGAGAGAGAGGGTCCATGTCAGCTTGAAAAGAAAATTAAAAGAGTCCACTGGGAAAATTGTTTTATGACTTTTCGGTATTTAAATGGCGGAAAACTAATTGATATTCGTAAAACGTTTCCATAAACTAAAAATAATAATCTTATATCGGGGGAAAATGACTTCTCCTTTTGGTAAGACGGATATCATTTTCTCTAAATCACCAAACAAATGAAACTAATTATTTTCCTTGAAAATAATTTCTATGAAAAATATTTTTCTTTATCATGTAATTTTTAGTTAAATAAATGCACGGTATATTTATTTTGGAGAGAACTTTTTGATAAAAGAAAATACTTTCTAAGAAATCATTTTCCAGAAAAATGTTCCCCTTTTTCAGGTTGGGAAATTTTTATTCCTAACTTTAAGTATGCACATTTTCTTTGATCATAAATGATTTTTCGTTGACCGATCAATTCAATAAACTAAATGTGTGAAAGTTCAGGAAACTAATTCGTGGAAACTTTTTTTCACTCAAACAAACATACCCATAGTTTTAAGTCACCAAAACTACTCAAGGATGAATAGTGTACTTCCTAGGGGCGATTTGAAATTCGAGCAAGAATACAAGGACTAGCAACAAGATTATTCTTCCAAAAACAAAACATTGATCTGACAATTGCTTTTATGGCTGCATTACTGTATGTTTTAGCAACTTTTTGTGTGTCCCTACGTGCAGAAGTATACGTATGGTTTAAAATGGATAGGCTTTCCCATAGATTGTTCTGAATGAATAAATCAAGCAAAATTAGATTCCTCATCGGATTTAACTTTAAAAATTCGAGTTCTGTAAGATATCCAATTTTGTCATTTTGCCAAATTTTTTAATCGAAGTACTTTTACGTATTAGAAATCGAATTTGTGAATTGGGTATGCCAACTTTAGCCGTTTGTTTTAGTAAAACAAATATTCAGTAAATTGAGCACTTTAGAAATATGTCACGGAGGTGGATTGAAATCTTTCATAGAATGAGTTCATAAAATATTTTCTATTATTTGTGTATTCAAAAGACACTGCATAAACTTTAGAATTGTAGCTAATCTATTCTTGTGATCATTCCTCCAATCAATAAACATGTTGAACACAAAATTTTTTTGGTATAGACTCGATCCCCAGATGATGGAAGAAAGAAAAATTCATAAATAATCTACCTGTCTTCCTTATAAATTGAGAAAAATAAAATAAAGCTGGGAGCAAAGATTAGAGACGTACAGTAAAGAAAATGAGAACTTATAAGCTTCTCTGAAAGTTGCACAAAGCAAACATGTTGGTAAACCGCGCTTATACAAAGGAAACCAAAATGAAGATATCTTCATTTCAAGTGAATATGAAGCTTCACATATCATAGTCAAAGTGCAAGGGAATTTACAAAAACAAGAAGCGTTTTCCTCAACTGGGAAAACCTCCATGAAATTCCAAATTAGTTCCTTTCCTCTACTTTTCATGTCTATAAAATCGTCTCTCAACTTTCCCTAGTGGCATCGTGAACCAAGCTTGTCACCTAGAAATATCATAATCTCGAGGATAGTCGAGCTGCTCAACCTCCCAGTTCAACTTGGAGATCGCTCTTTCATGACATGGCACATATTCCTGAAACAGTAGTAAAGTCAATTGTTTGAGGAATTCAATAAGCAACATAGTTTGATTATCTTCCTGGAAATAGTGAGCATAAGAATGGTAACTTTAGTGGTTAAACAGACGATGAAGAACTGGTTGAATTGCTATTTCTATGTGGAATGATTTGTCAGTTGTCTCAGGTGAATAAAGGGGAAATAAGAGGAACGTCTTTCTTTAGTTACCTCCAATTTCTTCACCAACTCCTTTGCTGTAGGGGCTGATACGATGATTTGACGAGCGCTCGGACTGATGAACCCCTCCTCTACCGCTTTGTCGATGAATGAGAGCAAGGAATTGTAGTATCCATCTACATTAAGCAATCCCACCTGCACATAGTTTGAAGAACATGCATTCCTTTTAGTTCTTTAGCGACAGTGAAAGAGTTGCATGATGGAATTAGAGCTTGCTGCATGAAATACCGGCTTATCATGAATGCCGAGCTGGGCCCAGGTTATAACTTCAAGCAGCTCTTCTAAAGTTCCATAACCCCCTGAATTTGCATAGAGAATGTCTTTTAACATCAGCAAGTAGCATGACATATTTAATGTTCTCTCACTGATTTGATACAGATGGGAAAATCAAGCTACAACCAGTACAAAGCTTCAGGAAGATTATGCATCTTTGAGGAAAGGAGGAGATTATCTGATAGAAGACAGCCTAGTAGAATGACTGAAAATTTTCCAATATAAGGAGAAAACAGAGGAAAATTAAAGAAGGTGAATATTCTCCAACAACTTGTGCACAAGCCAATAGAAAATCTATTTCCATGAAGAGTGGGTGCATTGATGTGAATCCAAGGAACTTGTCGGTCGTTCCACATAGAGATTTTGTATGCACACATTGTTCTAGAAAGAAATCTCTTTATGGACGGTGTGCCGTATAAGTTCTAGCGCCTAATGGGAGTGGTCACTTGGTTTTAGTTACTGTAGTTGTGATGATTTAACTAGTATTAAGGAATTACTTCCTGCATGTGAATGCAATAAACCTTCCAACTGTTTTCAGTTGAAAACAAAATTTTAGCTTGGAAACTAATTTTACTTTCCTGTCTTCAGCCTCCTACTCATGTGAGAGTAGCTCTCTTGCTGTAATATGCTCTTCACTGCCTCTGTTTACACCTCTATAGGGTCTGGGACAAAGCTGACATTTGCCAAATATTTATCAAGAGTGTCAGAGCCAAAAGTCCCAGTGAGAAATAAACTGACCCTTTGAGCCTACTGGGTCTCCATTTCTCAATAACAATTAGCCCGTTGGGAGGGGTTGCCATGATTCTCTATTTTGGTGAGGTGCTAGTTGGCAGGCAAGAACCGTTACACAAAAGCTTGGTTGTCTGTGTCCTTTCTCCTGATTAGGTAGAGAAATAAGGGTCCTCAGGGGATCTAATTTTCAGTGAAGATGTTGATGGGTCAAAGGCTAAGGTCTGAATGGTTGCTCTCTAATCATGGATCTTGGGGACTGTGAGGGGAAGGCTCAGTAAGTTGTGAGGATTTTGGCTTCATACAGTCACTTTCAAAGCATTTTTTCAAACAACAATATGCTTTTTAAATGAATTAACCTGCAAGGCCAACAAGGACTTAAAAAAATTTTCCCCCCAATTCACAAGATAGGACTTGTTTGTTCAAGCATTTATCTGACCCCTTATTCTTTCTTTGCTGGTAAGCAAACCACTATTCCTCCAAAGCACAGAACACATGGATTTAGCCAAAAAAAAAAAAAAAAAGCAGAGAACGCATGGTGAGTTCAACTATGTCTATTTGATTCATAGGAATGCAGGTACTTCCATTCAATATATCTCCTCACATGAATTTGAAAGATAAAAGGGGAAACTCAGGTACCATCAAAGGAATCATTGGCATGAGATATGGTCGATCAAAGCATATATACCACAAAAGGCAAAATAGCAGCACTTGGTACAATGCAATTTTCTTGATTTTAACTTAATGTCAGTACTCTCTCTCTCTCTCTCTTCTCTCTCTCTCTCTCTCTCTGTTACAACTGAGAACTTCTGCAGGGGGGAGGCGGTGGGGTTGTGGTGGTGGGGGGACGGGGCTTAACACTAACCAGGTAAGGCAATAAAAGCATCTGAATGCTTAGCCATCTCTGCCTTTCTTTGATGCATATCTGCAACTGCCTTCACCTCTCCTACTGTCTCACCAGTTAACTGCAAAGAAAAAAGGGCACTAGTGCCAATGAATACAGTTCATCCAAAAAAAAAATGAAAAACGTGTTTGTGTTTGTGTTGCGAGAGAGAGGGAGAGAGAAGTTTTGGAGTGTTGTGGAGTGCAGCAAATGATGAGGTGCGCAGAGCAGGGAGTGCCAAAAGCTTCAACACAGCAGTCTCCTTTCCAGAAATTTCAGTACGAAAATAATGACAAACATAAGAAAAAGAATTCAAATATTCGATAAAGTCAAGAGAGAAAAACCAAAACCCAAAAAAAAAAAAAGGACATGGAAATTTTGTTGGTCTTCAAAATTTTAAAAAGAAAGATGAAATGTTGATCAAAGGAGAAAGCACCGTAAAGACTAAGGACAAACCTCTATAGTCAAACACTCATGTTGTATAAAGTGGTGTTGCGCCAGAACCCAAAATGAAAAATATAAATAAAAAAAGAAGAGTTTGTGGATAAGGCCAGCAAGCATTATCATCCACCTAATGGAAAATTTGTACCAACCAGAATCGCGAAAAGGAAAAGTGAGAAGACAGAACTAAGAGCTCACTTAAGTTAAATCAACTTTTGTTGAGCAGAAGAAGCAAATTAAACCCAAGAAAGAGTGTTCACCAGACTACCATAATATCTATTTCTTTACTAGGAAAAGGTTCGAGACTTTTACTGGGTACAGCAGACATACCTCTCGGGGCATGAGCGTCTTGGGAATGACTCTGCAGAGAACAAAGAGAGAGAGAGAGAGAGAGAGAGGGGACAACAACATGACAAAAGAATTAGTTATAATGGAGTGCAAAACCAAGCCCAAAGTCATTGATTCTGTTCCTTAATCGATTACCGGGTCTTTGCCTTGAGCAATTTACATCGAGGAAAGAGAAGCTTAGGAATTACCCAATGACATGCCGACCGCCATCATGAACAGCTTGTGAGACCAAGCCCATAAGGCCTATGCTACCTCCACCGTAGACCAGATCAATGTTCCTCGACACCTTCAGAGGAAAACGCACAAAACATCATCATTCGTCAAGGGTCAAAAGGCAATACCGCCATGCTTCTGTATAATCTTTCCGAACATGAAATTTTTCTCCCTTCTCTTATCTTTTTCAAGAAATTCTTATTCCACTGCATACCAAGGCCAAATGGCGTAAAGCATTGAGGTTCAAAGTTTGAGAAGAAGAATCAAACACACACACACACACACAAGCAGAGATACCCCAGAATCAGGAAGATTCCATTCCAGTGGGGCACTTCAAAGAGAAGTAACAGATGGAATGGCGCAATATTTCTGACATGGGGTTTGCTCGCTTCAATGTAGCTCGCTTTCATGACAAAGACACCTAGGAAGAGAAGAGAGCAAAGGGAATGCATTTAATTGGCGCACACACACCCCACACTAGATACAAACTCTACGTGGAATGGACCATTAACCCCCTCCAAAATCACAAAAGTCCTGGTTCATGCATATAGCAGAACACCTAGCAAACACAATCCCAAAAGCCCAGAAAGAAGAAGAATCAAGAATCACCAGTTCTTTGCCCAGCTCAATAGCGGCATCCTGATAGCTGCTCTTCTTTCCCTGGCTACTCCCACAGAAGACACAAATCCTTCTGAACTTGGACTGTTTTATCTCACTCTCAATCTCCATTTCGAGGCTTCTCTGCGTAAAAAAGCTAGAGACTCTGTTCTGGGTCGATTCTGTGGTGTTGGAAGGAATAAATGGGAACTGTTTTTCTCTCCGGAATAGGAAAGAATCTCCCTCAACCTGGTATCTTTCTGTGTCTCCGTGTGTGTGTGTGTCTGAGATTCGCGAGATGTGTATAGAAAGAAACGGGAAACAATGGGGACAAGACAAGAAAGAGAACAAGAATCAAGTAGACGCACACATACAACCTTGTTGCGGTGACCACAACTACTACTACTCTGTTACCCTCGCTCTCGCTCTCTAGTCACTGACTCTCTCTCTCTCTCTCTCTCTGTGTCCCAGTGCGTGGTTGTTCTTTAACGCGAGTGCTTATATAAGAGGAGGCCTCAAGAGTCGTGACACGTGAGTACAGAGTGCCCCGTCCCACAAGCACGCTCTAGCCCCAACTCACATATACAAATTACAGTGGCACGCGTGGACCACTTGGGCCTCTATTTTATTAGCTCTTTTCTTGTGAATTCAACAGAGAGTTGCGATGTGTATTCATATACTAATGCGTGTATCTCCTGTGAAGAGAATTTGAAAAGGGAGAAATAGAAAAGAATGGCGAGAAAAGGAAGGGGGTATGGCGTAGAACAAAGAATTGTCCCTATATCCTAATATAGGCTCTGTGCCTGTCGGGAAAAAAGTCTCTCCTGGGGTGAATTTTCACGTACTAAAAAATTTCTTTTTCTATGTAACAAGGACAAGCATATGCACACATGAATTGAATATGTTGCGTGGGAACTTGTATGCGTTTTTCCTTATGGGTCTCTCTCTCTCTCTCTCTCAACCAAATCTCTTCGCAAAGTTGTTTTGTCGTTAGACTTGTCATCAAACTATTTAGATAGCATTGACATTCACGAACTTGGCAAAGAAAACTTTCATGTTTCTAGTGAACACACAACATATATGAACATATTTATATTCGAAAGATCTAAAAAATTTAAGCAGATTTATGAGTGTGTACTGGAGTGCTTAACATTTGGAACATCTATTTGTTAGAAAACAAACCAACCCTCTTATGATTGTACCACATGGGTTTCTAAAATATACAGAGACATTCATTTTTTTTAGAATGTAAAAGATTGGAGTCCATACATGCACCCGTGCTTATTTTTATTTGGGTTTCATTAACAAGTGCCCTAACTCACTATTACAATGCACCCGATGCACTTGTTAACCATACTTAACAAAAAAAAATGTATGAATTTTCAATGTATACATAGGGCCCGAGAGAGGCAATGCATGAGAAATAAGGTACTCTCTTTTCTACTAGAGCTATTGATTTATAAAATATTTTCCATTTTGATCAATCTTATCCGGGCCTTTCTAGGTTTCCAAGTATTCGATGCAAAATATAAGCCGTACCGTAAAGACATGTCATGCTCTCTCACACTTCAGGCTCTTCACTCAGGTGTGAAGGACAACACATCAATGCACGACATTATCTAGTACCTTCACCACACTTTTAGAAAATTTACTGAGTATTCGATTTTATCTTTCCTTGAACGTGTAAAACTCCCTCTCATATTGTCCTTACAAAGCTAGAACTAGGTACGAGAATGGGAATTTATGATATGAAACTATAATTTCTACATATATGAGAAGAATTTATAACCTATAAAAGAAAAGAAGGATGATAAATAGTAGTTTTGAGAAGATTTGATTTCGTGAATGATCTAATTGATCATGCAATATTTTTCTCTTACTTTATTTACTTTTGCTTTATTTGTATTGGTTTTTATTCATTAACAGATTCAGTAGTAGGTTCACCGACGTATCATCTCAACTGCGAAAAAAAAGATGTTATCATTGTAAGGTCACCTATTATTATTGTAAATAACAATAAATTGGAACAGAAATAACAAAACCAAAAGAGAAATGATTTTAGAACCGTGTTCTTACAATTAGAAGGGGGATGGGGTGTGGGGTGTTTCAATTTCTTAATGGTTCACCTCGTATATCATAATTAAACCCGCTAAAGAAAAAGGCAAAACCTGGACAGTCCGGAATGGGAGAATCTTTGCTTTTGGTGAGAATTCCATTTTGAATGAGCAAGAACTCATAATTTTGTTTAATATGCAATGGCCACGAGTGTGAAGACTCCACTATCTAAAAGTCCCATGGCACGTCATATAATTCTTATGAACCGGTTAAATTCGGGCATTCACCCTGTGCATGGCCCTATAATTAACCTAAGAACAGCTTGCACACAATTAATAAGCTCTAGTTTCTAAAATGGGAACCCGTAAACAGTCCGACCAAGTGCGCGCAACCACGGGTTAACTCCAGCTATTATATAGTGTCTAAACCTGAGCCTGCCAAAAAGCATGGGTAAGTCCAGAAAATTTCAGATCAAGAGAGGGGCAAAATTAAATAAAAAAATTGGGTGAGTGTGGTTATAGAGGGTTGTGCATGTATGATTCAACAAAGCACCCATGTGGGCTAATGCCTCATCGCTCTGTACCCTCATCCCACCTCCCCAACAAGAACAAGACACTCTTGTTTCATCCACAGGGGACACTCTTTATTTTTATTTCCTTCGACCCATGAACTTCACTAATTTGCTGTCACGCAACCCCAACCCCATATTCTCTTCGTTTACTAATTGCATTTGCCTCTTCACTGCCACAAACTTTCTTGCGGTTTTCGTAGGTTTGAGGGCGCTTTGGATATTTGTCCTGCCTTGGAATCTATCCTTCAAAAATTTTGTAACATGGAATAATCACTTCGGAACCCGATACCAGTCGGTTCCATAAGTTTTAGGGTATCCAATACCGTAATGTTTTTACTACATAAACATTGTCATCATTCTAATTTTTGAAATATTTAGAATTCAACGTAAAAATGCGAGGGCATTCGTATCAAGTACATGTTTATAGTCCTAATATATAATGATGCCAAAGTAAAATACTATAAAAACATGATAAATTTGTAAAGAAAACGGAAAATAACAAATATTACGTATTTATCAATATATTATACCGGTTATCTTGTATCTTTCTATAGGATATCATGCACCTGGAATCTACCCTACGACCACTAATACCCACCCTGAAATCTACCTGATCATGTTGGTTCCATAGGCTTCAAAGGTTCTCTTGTATTCCCCTACTCTCTCTCCTACAATTCAAAATCAAAGAAAATCTTGACAAATTCGATACAAGAAACATTAATGAATTAAGGATAACAAAATGCTACTTTTGTTGCTCAAAGTATAAATTTACACTTGTTTGTGGCTATACAATAAGATTCACGTTGAGTGATATAGAAAATGATGACCAAAAAAGAATAAGCGAGCCATGTCTTACAAGATTAATGGAAACAGTGAAACGCGAACAAGTGTGGATGATGATGGATTAAGAATGTTTGATTTAGTGAGTATGAGTACGGTATCATTCGACTCGCTAGGACCCTCATGATCTTGGATAAACAGTGACACGTGATGGGCCCACTTGTCGACATGATTGCTAGTGTACATATGGCAAGCATGGTGGTCCTCCGCAAGAATTTTCGGGCAATCTTGAAGAGGGAGTAAGAGTACATTTGACCCTCAATCCACCCATGAAACAACCCATGTAACATTACCCTTAGACAATTAAATGAGTACACTCGAGTATTATAGTTTAGTACCCTTTTGGGGTTGAACTTCTATTTGGGGGTTTGTGGGGTTTCCTTGCTTTGGGAGTCTCTCTTCTTTGTTTATTCCCTTGCTCAATTCTTATTTTATGTCCCTAATCCATTGCCCATATTGCAGGAGGAACTGCACCAGTTGCCCTTAAAATAATCCCTACGAGTATAATATAATTGTTGCTCTATTAATTAAATATTGCACGTCCCCAATCCCCATACGACGGCCTTTCTAAGTGCTCTCTCTCTGTTTTTGTTTGTTCTCTTCTCTTCTCAATCTCTGCTTTATTCTGGTCTCTGTCTACTTCCCGCCCATTCCTTCTGCTTTGAGATTATAAACTCATAATTGCAATGCTCCTTAAATTAATGGGATTTGCGGGGAGTTTTAGGCTTCGGGTGGATCGAAACTAATAATAAAGAAGTTGCATTAGCACCCTGCATGCTTGCATGCGCGTTTAACGCATTCCCTTGGATGCTTGTGTGACTGCGCGTGTACGTAAAAAATGTCATTATTTGCTTAATTGGACTGCTTGCTTTGTACTTCTACTCCTTTCTTTTGACTGCCGCAATACATGTGGAACGGACGAATGGCTACGTATTTAGGAAGCTTAATGTACTCATTCAGTCATGAAGCCATAACGTGAGGAGCAAATAAAAAATCAAAACTACCAAAATGTCCATAAATTACACAGATCTAGGACTACATTTTTTTTATGTTATTCTAAATGTTGGTTCGACATGAACTATCGCAAGAAAAATAATATGCAAAAGACTAACAAAATTTATGTCCATACCAATCAAATTCTCTGATAGAGTCTACGTAGAATTTATTTAAAATGGATATGCATCCATCACTGTAGGTATATCATGACACATGAATCACAATTTTCACTAAATCGTAAATGTAAGTTTAAGCAATGTTTTGAGGCACGTACAGTAATATGAACTGATAAGAAACACGAAAGCATAAAAGTGAGTATGCTGATTCTTCTCTCTTGATAACTTTCCTCTGTTTAGTGGAATCTTCACCTTTGTGCCATCATTTTGGTGTGGAAAAGGCAAGCAAGCTATTTGTGTAATATTTTCTTGATTGTAGAATGGCTTATTCAGGTGATTTCTGCAAGAGCATCTTTTAGAAATGAACAGGGTGAAATGGCTTGGAGGTTTTGCCGCATTTGTAGGAATATGTTCGTTGACACAAGCAGATATTTGGGTTGTGTAGTTGGGAATCAACATCACAAAACAACTTGGTTTTCATAAGATCACCATTGAGATTGACTCCAAAGCCATCATTAATCTTGTTAGGCCAGAGCTTATGATTGATAATGCTGGCACTGCTTTACTTAAAGATATCACAAGACTGTCGCACTCTCACTTTGAGATGAAAGTGCAACATAACTTTTGGAAAGGTAATCGCTCTGCTGATCGACTTACTAATCTTGGAATTGATAAGCACTTGGATATTAGTTTCTTTTCATTACCTCCTACAGAGTTACTTCATGTTTTATTAGGTGTAAGAAAGGGATAGTAGATTTACGAAGTTAAATTTTAGTATTCGGCTTTAGCCCTTTTTAATATAAAAAAAATTCAATTTCCTTCTTAATGGAAATCCTCCCCATTCTTTTTGGTAACCAATTTGATGTCTATCATTTTGTTTGGATAGGAGTTGATGGATA